AATAAGAAAAGCAATAATAAACACCGATATGATGATGGAGAAACCCCAATTATGTAAAAACTCCAGGATCAAGCTAGTTACCTCCACTATAGACAATACAGACTGAGTTATAGCCAACTCCACTAGACTTACCGATCTATTTCTTGCTAACTCCAAGTCTGCTCCAAGATCTACTCCAAGATCTTTTGCAATTGTCTCTTCGAAGTGGAATTATAAGAACCTGCTCAAAGGCCTTGTGCTCTTCTTGCACTTGTAGTCCAACCTCTCTCAACCTCCAATAGCCTCTGAATTTCTATTTATATAAATAAATCGTAAATTAGACACACCACGTGGAGAATAGACAAAATTACACCTGCGTAGATATGTGGGTACGCGTGGTGTCCAGGAGATCCGAGCCGACGCAAGCTAAGGCCCAGTCCGTCTAAAGCTATTCCTTCCGAACCCTCTTTTTTGGAGGGGTCCCCGATATGAGCTCATTCTCAGAGAGGCAGTTAGTTACCCCCAGCGAACCTTATGAAGTGACTGACAAGATAATTCACTGCAAACGCCGCCTCCGTATGCCTACGCTGTCAAATCCATAAGCATCAAATGGTGCTGATTGACTGATTGATTGACATCAACTATGACCCTTGGATCTAACATAACACGTGCTTGTCCATCCAACGGGCCTCATTCCCCATTACGCTTAGTACAAAAAGCCACACTTAGCACCATGNTGTCCATCCAACGGGCCTCATTCCCCAGTACGCGTAGTATAAAGAGCCACACTTAGCACCATGAAAAGGGGCAATTTTACATAGAAAAAGTGAACCTTGATTCTCTCTTTGTTTTACTCGTTACACCAACCCCCTTTTTATCAACCAAATGACCACATTGCAACTGGTCAGACACTTCGAATCATTCTCTTCATTAACTCATCAATATAATTAGTAATTTGATTTGAGTATATTGCGATTACACTTACAAAGACGTGAATTTCTAATTTTCTATTGGCTACGTCATTGGTCTATTTTTTGGGGTCAACAAATTGGGGCCGTCTGTGTGAATCTTTGAGATCATAACCACGTACATCCTAGTGGTAAAAGATGTGGGTAAAAAAGCTTTGAAGAAAGGCTTCGGCTCTTGAACAAAGGGCCACCTTGAGAAAGCAATCTAAGAAACTCGATGAGCTCGAGTCACCAAGGAACACATGATGGGAATATTCAACAGGAGGCCTCCGAAGAAGAGGTTCTTCACATGAACGTAAACACGCATCGTCCTCACCATTGCCATAGAAGGGGTGGTACAACTGCACGCCTGGTGCGGGAAGTTGGAGAAATGGCCTCCAATATGAGAAATATGGCCCAACAAAATGCGGCCATGCAACAACTGCTAATGCAAATACAGTGGCAAGCTGGGTCCCAGGCGCCTTAGCACAGGATTTTTCACCAGGAAGGTGAAGAAAATAATATAGCAACGTATCCACAAATGTACGGGATGAACGACTGAGTGGAAAGAGAAGCAGAAGCCAACACATCTACCAATTATGTCACGAGCCACCACGGTGAAGATGTCCCTATGGAGGAGGATTTTCCCTCGGAATACCCTTAGGAGCACAAACCTCAAAGGTCTGCTAGTGTCTTTGATAGGATTGGACCTTCAAATCCTAGGAATAGGCCTCAAGAACCTCTTCTTGCTCAAGGGGAACGAGAATGTCATCTGGGGTATGAGCCTCAAGGGGTGCCACCACCACCTAGAAATAGGTGGGAAAGGAGAGATGCAGCAAATGCAAGGAATCAGATGGGAATGTCGTAGCCCTGTTATCAAGCCGAAGACGACGATTATGACGGTCCTTGCAGATCGTTCGAAATGGATGATGATGATGATGAAAGTTTGTCATTCTCCCAAGAGCTGAGGAGGGCCCCAGTCCCCAGCCACTTTGTGCCGCCAAAGATACCTAGTGCAAAGAGAGAGACTCAAATGTCTGTAAAATACCTCAACAACTACAAGACTTAAATGTCTTTGCGGGGAGCCTCCCTGAAGTTGAAATGTCGAGCTTTCTACCTCACGCTGACAAGGGCTGTTAAAATCTAGTACACTTGTATCCCAACTGGCAGTATCCACAGTTGACCAGACCTGAAGAAGGTTTTTTTAAACCAATACTTGTCAAGCAAAGAGGGAGAGGCCCCCATCCAGAGGCTACAGGACATGAGGCAGCAAGCAGGGAAAACTTTAAAGAGTTACCGGCTCACTTTACGGATGAAATAACTTACTGCGAGCAGGTTACTGATAGAGAGGCCCTTTTCACATTAAGAGGAGACCTCAATATGAACACCCTGTTTTGGAGAGATGTACGGAATGAGAATCCCACCACCTACGATGCCTTAGTGATAATGATGAGAAGCGAAATCATCAACGAAGAGTTGATTGATCACCGAAACCGTACCTCAATGGGGCTCACATTACCTTAGAGGCAATGTAGGAGTCCTGTGTCCCATCTAGTAAACCAACAATGGACCCCAGCAGGACACACCATAGCCCTCACTTCGGGACAGGCACTGGCCACTTCCATGTTGAACGTAGTGCCCACTTTGACATACGAAGAGGTTGGGCCCGATATCCACAATCTGTCAAACAAACCCAGAGGAAGAGGAAGGGGCCGAGGAAGAGTGCCTAGAGATAGGCAATATTGCAAGTACCACCGAACCAATGGCCACAGCACTGAGAATTGTTTGTCCATGCCATATCATGGAGAGCCTAATAGGGCCCATGTAGAGGACAAAAATGACCGTTGTAGGCAAACAGATGCCCCTTCGTTCAGGCAAGGACATTGACACAATGAAGAAAGAAGGAGTAGCCGAAAGCCCTGAAGGGAACACGACGAGGATGAAAAAGGAACACGGTGTCAGAGGCCCAAGAGGGAGCCTCCAGTAAATGATGATAATGTATCCATCAGGGAAATCGATACCATAATTGGCGGTCCCCACATAGGAGGGAGTTCCAAAAATGCCCTAAAAAACTACACGAGGGAAGCAAAGGATCCTCTCATGACACATTACCTAATCAGTAGCCCCCATCGAGGTGCCGGAGATGTCCCTCCAATTACTTTCTCACCAAAGGATACCGTAGGAGTCCATTATCCACACTCCGACGTATTGGTGGTTCGAGCTATCGTGGCCAGAAATGGCCTGAAGCGCATGCTGGTTGACAATAGGAATTATGTCGACATCCTTTTCGGAACCACTTTTGACAAAATGACTGTGGACCATGAGCTCTCACCCACGACTTACCCCTGTACAATTTTACGATGGACAACATCGTCCCCAGAGGAAGGATCATATTAGCAGTGGAATTGGGGGAGTACCCAGTCAGAGCTCAACACTTCATGGAGTTCTTGATAGTAGATCACCGATCCGCTTACCATGGAGTTCTTGGGCAACCCGCCTTGAAAGAATTGGAAGCAGTAACATCTATACATCATCTTTGCATGAAGTTTCCTACTAAAGAAGGAATCGTA